AAATAACAAAATAAAAATCACCTCAAAAAGCAAAGACAAGGTAAAACAAATGTGAAAGTTGTATCAAAAAATCAGGCAAACCTCTACAAAACCACAAGCCATATCACAGGTATTGTACTTTCAAAGGTTATCCCTTCTTTTCACCACTAGATTGCACTTATGGCTCTGTTTTCTGGCCTTTAAAATGAAACTGAAAGACGATCGCACATTTTCTCACGTTATCTGAATAAATTATGGTTCATACCTCTTGTAACATTCGTTTAAAACCTTTTTGAAACCTACACATTAAATTTGAAATCAAAATCAATTTCTAATTAATCCGAAACAGACACTTTGATTGGCACAGGTGAAAGCAGAGACTTCTAAATGTTAAAGGGTCTTGAATATGAATATAATAAACACACAAAAAAGTATTTTATAGTCTTTCATATTTCAACTAACTCAACAAGAAACCGATTATTAATGGTGTCACTACCAAGCACACAAGAGCTGGAAATTAAATGTGGCTTCAGCAGATCAGTGAACTAAACAGAAACCTTTCTTGTTAGGGGAAAAGGTAAGGACTAGCTGAGAACTAAAAACACAAAGTAATGAGGCTCAATACCAGTGCCTCGATAAACAACAAAAATCATAAAAGGTGCCTGACTACAGCGGAAGACAGGTGTTCACTCAGATTGGTTTATGTTGTCTGCAGCAACGAACCACATGATATTTTACACACAAACCAGTGAGACAAGGGGGTAAGAAAGTACACTGAATGGGGGAAAGATGCAGGTTAAAGCAGGTACAAATGACGAGACACAGATGGAAGCCCATAAGAATGTGTTCAAGGTGCTGGTGTAGCAGTTTTACTCTGGTTGTGTAGTTTAATTGAAGACTGGACACAGGTGGCGGTCGATAACATTTATTCTGTAAAGAACAACAATATTTCAACCGAGCACAGTTCTCGCGTCCAGCCACTAGACTCCCGATGCTTAACTGAAGCAAAATGGGGCCGTTCATAGACAACACGAGAAAGGTTCCACGCTGAATGTAACGGCGCGATTGAAATGAAGGTCCAAAAATAAACAGAAAATGTCCTAACTAATTTTAGTGAAGTTCACTGAAGATGAAAATATATTTAACCCAGCTACACTGGAAACATCTGAGAGAGAAAAACAAACAAAGGAACATGTGTGGAGCGCAAGACCTAAACAGAAGCCCGAGAAAAACCAATAAACCTGACGCACGTTTTGGTCTTGTAAAATAAACCGGTGAACCCAGAGTAGTCACACGAGCACAGTGAGAACATGCAAACTCCACTCAGCAAGGTCAGCGGCTGGCCTGCTCACTGAAAGGCTGCAGTGCTTCTCACTTTGCCACGGTGCCTCTCCATTCAGTAATATTACTAGATCGTAAAACACAATGGTTGTTTTCTTCATTTTCTGGGTAATCACCAGTAAAGAAAGAACTCGTAATTAAAAGGTTATTCCAAAGATATTTTTTTCCAAAAGGCTAAACGGAACACATGTTTATTAAATGAATGCATTGAAGCTTGAGATGTGAACAAAGCCTGTAAACTCAAGGAATTGATAAAGTATTCCTGATCACATGATAAGCATTGTTAAACATAATCACCATTGAAAGTGTGTTATACAAAATTATAAATGGAATCTTGAATGGAAGCCGCAGCATTAGAACGAGGAGCCCATCACCTTTCTTCATCCCCCCTTTCTCCTTTTTTAACTGAGTGCCTCATTTGGTTTCATCCTCGTCTATGTGCTATTGATTTCATTGATCTCTGAGCATGTTGGCTGAGTACTGTTTGCCGTGAGATAATTGTCCTATCATTGGTCCTGTGATGAGATTTCACACATTTACAGGCTCTTCTTTTCTGCAAGGTGATGGGAGAGAATCATATAAATTAGGTGATGAAATGTAATTAAACAGTCATGGCACTTGAAAAAACAGACATTTCTGTGTATAGTAAGTAAATTGGGTCAATCCAGGATACAAAATCCTAAAGTTTTCCAGGATACAGATGTATATGCACAAATCCCTGGTAAAATACTTATTATAAGTCGAAAGACAGTTTACTTTAATTTAGTAAAAATAAAGTATTACCTTTGCAGTTTTGAATTTGTATTAGAATTAGTGTCACACTTCCTTCTAGATACAACAATACATAAATTCATCATTTTGTTCCTCTGCAGACTCAGACTATTCATGTTGTGCAGAATGTGACCTGCTCTTTAAAATCCTGATTACTCGCTTGATGGTGTGCCTGCCATGATAATGTTAACCAATAAAAGGTACCCAGAGATGATGTCATTTGCAAATTTTTAGCCACAGGTGATCTCGTACTGAAACAAATCATTGAGCAAGACAAGGATGAATACTAACATCTTATAATCTAGATCTACATGTGATGCCGTTCAATTTAGAGATAGTGTGAGGTCATTATGTCTGGGACAGCCAATAAATGTTCTTTGTTTTTAATGGTACTCTACACCTGGGGAATACAGTGTTGTTCAGTTGGATGTGGATTAAAAATGGGCCTTTTTTAGAAACAATCCTGTCATTTATTACTATATTTAAGACCTATTTGTTTTACAGCTAAATATTTTTTAGTTAAACAATATTTGTAATATCGGTATATAACTCCAAAAATTATATTATATTGATTTAAATTGCAGTTTCCTCTACTACTATTCCTATTACTACTTCTATGATTATTAAAACTATTATTTTTTACGACTACTCCTCCTCCTACTTCTACTACAACTTCTTTGACTACTACTATGTCTAATACGATGACTACTACTACTATGACTACAACCACTATGAGTACTACTACTACTATTTCAACGAAAACTACTACTATTACTACTACTTTTATGAGTACTGTTATGACTAGTACTGCTATCTCTACTTTTACGACTACTACTTCACAAGTTCACCACAAGGGTCTGTATTATAGTAAGCATAGAGTGGGAGTATACATAGGCACAAGGCAAGGCACAAGGCAAGCTGTCGATCACGAAGGGTATCTATGTTATACCCATAGTTAGGCGAAAGAATGGAAGGTGGGTGAAGCCCAGCATAGTCAACGAATGAAGGTAGGACTGGCTTAAATAATGCAGTGAGTGATTGCTTGATTGATTGAAATCAGCTGGTAGCATCCCCTGATTATTCCTCCTGAAACTTGTTTACCAAACATCACTACTATGACTACTACTACATGTTCTATGACTAATTCTACTAGTATGACTACTACGATTACTACTGCTACTTCTAATACTATACTTCTACTACTGGCATTATTTGACATCTGTTGTTTTCATAGTGTTTAGGTTTTTTTATAGTCAAACAGATGGGCAGTTCAAAAAGCCATTCATAGAAATGCGGATTTAAAAAAAACTTTCTGATTAAAAAAAAAACAAAACTTGATCAAATAACTTAATTGAATCGATTTATTTATCTCATGGGCTTGCTCCTGATACATTGATTTGAGGTGGAAGGTGGTATTTCTGACTTATACTGCCACTGGCCGCTTTGGGACAATCAAATTGCCAGAAACTACCTGCTCTACTCAGCGTGGATTCTGCAAAAAAAAGAAAACCATATCCATTAAATATTTAATGAGGTGTCTTTATTTCTTTTCACTTTATTTCACTATAGTTTACCTAGGGACTAATTTGCTTTACAGCCTGAAGGGAAATACAATTTTAAGTATTGCCATTAGCAAAGCCACAAAAGCAGGATTCAAGGAGCAGGAAAGATGGATTAAGAGGGGAAAACAGAAGCAAGATGGCCGTGTTTATGCTGTTAATGAAATCGGTAAAGTGAAGCCATTAATAATGCCTTTGGTGTCGGGTTAGTTAATAGTGAAAGCCACACGAGGAGACTGATGTATAGTGGACAGTAAGGCGATATCATGTCTGTGTATTAGAACTGGCTCTGTGTTGGAAAGGTGACAGTAAATCATTGGGTTCATCAGACTGATTCCTGGTCAGGGCTGATGGGTCACACTGATAGCTGGTAGAGGGCAGTGATGGATGGCACTCTCCTGTCTGCTGAGAGCTAAGGGTGGCACACTGAGACAGCAGCTGAAATGCTTCCAATACACACTGTTTCAGACCCATTGGAAGGACTGAGAAAACCAAATCAATGAGATAGACAGTCTTTGTCTCTGGATTCAAATTTGCCATTTATCAAAGTTAATCTGTAATCAGCATCAATGTTTCCTTTTTTCGACTGGCCAATTTGTGAAGAACGTGTCTAATTTTTGTAGAACATCAGGTGAGACTTGTCCTGTTGATATGTCTTGGTGACGCTTGGTTTGAGGACGCATAGGAAGCCAGGAAGCTATTTTTAATTGCTTTTGAAGCAAGGGTCAGTTCCCTACTTTAGATTCCCGGTCATAAATGGAGGCTTAGATGGGTCTTGTTGAGGCAACACAAACCGTGGCGACGGTAGCACTTATCTTTACTGATACTGTTTGGACTGAGAAGACATTTTAGAATCCCTGACCAAAGCAGCCAACACTTGCGTGGCATAGTTCTGTGTGATGAACTCTATAAATGCTGAAAAGCTCAATTTAGATTAGAGAAGCTTCTCAGCTGCTTCTCTGGGGAGGTGTTTCCACCATGTAAACACAGGAAAAGGCCACCACTAGGAAGACTTGGTGTAAGTACTCTCCTCTAGGTTGGAGATGCCCTAACGGTAACGGTAGTCTCTGGTGAGAGAGATGACTCGTCTGGCTTTTAAATTCATGTGAACTGTGCCATTCATAATCCATGCGATTTAATATGCTGCCAGCAATCCCTTGCAGCTTTAACAGTTCAGCTCTTCTAGGAGGGATTTCCATAAGGTTTCGTTGTGTGCTTATGGAAAATGTTCATTATTTTTCTAGAACAGAGGTGTGGAAGGAGGGCTGGAACAAAAACCAAGAGGGACAAATAACTTTGCCCACCTTCTAGAAGGCCTTCTTCTTAGCCTATCGCTAACAGTTGGATGTGTCACGTGGCCTAGTGGATAAGGTGATTGACTCGAGATCAAAAGGTCACTGGTTCTATTCCAAGCTCCGGTGGGATGAGTATTACTGAGTGGGATTACTGTGGTGGCCTTGAGCAAGTCATCAGACTCCCCACAGCGGCCCACTGCTCCAAGGGGTTTGTTCACTGCTGTGTGTGTGCACTTGGATGGGTGAAATGCAGAGCACAAATTCCTCCATACATGGTTCACACTAATGTCACTTGTGTGTGTTGTGAGATGTTTACAGCTAGAATTGGTGCAATATAAAGTGTCCACACAATGTTGAATTGTTTCACAGTTGCAATCTGTATGATTTTAAGCTGATTATGGTAGCTAAGTAAATTCTAATATTTGCATAACTCAGTGGGACGTAAATTAAAACATATACAGTACTGTGCAGACAATTCAGGTGAGAAAAATGTTGCAAACAGTGAATGATATAAAGGAAATCTAAATCTAGGTATACAGTTTTTGAAGTATCTGCCTTTGTCACTGCATCAGGAACACCATTAATCCTAAGTAAATCTCCAGCTCTGTTTGTAAAAATGCAGCCACAAATGTTCAAGAAACCTCCACCATGCCTCACTGTTGCATGCAGACACTTATAATTGTTCTGCTCTCCATCCCTTCAGCAGACGCATATTTTCAAGTTGACTCATCAGTCCAGAGCACACGCTGCCATTTTGGTACCCCGGTTCCCATGTTGTTGTGCATACTTACATTGCTGAGCCTTGTTTCCACATTGCCAAGCACAGATTTCCAAAAGTTTCCTTCTTGTACATCTTGAAATTCCCGTCTGCTTGGAAATCATTGTCTGGGAGAGACTTTGTTGATTTTGAGTACTACAACTTCACTTAATTTCAGTTTGGGTGTATCTGTTACTTTTTAAGTTCATTGTCTCAGACTTTTAGGTATAATTAGTTGATTTTTAATATCATCAGAATCCTGACTTTGTGCAAGTGTACCTATTGATTTGAGGGCAATAACACCATGCAAGTGATTTGATTGGTTTGGATTTTCGCTTGTTTGCTCGTTTCAATTGGTATATTATGTTGAAAGTTTGCCCAGAGATGGACTGGCAAACTGTCCAGGGTGTACCCCCGCCTCTCGCACAATGTGCTCTGGAGATAGGCACTGGCAGACCCCTGTTACCCCGAAAGGTAATAAGCAGGTTGGAAAATGAATAAATGAATGTTGAAAGTTTTTTTGTTGTTTACACCATTTTTTCACACCTTTCTAAATAAAGCCTCGGAAGAGTACTATATAGATGTTAACATGGCAAAAGGATTTGAATACATGTGTTTAGACCTAAATTATTTATTTATTAATTTAAGAAAAGTCAAATTCCTGTGATCTTAGTGAAATGTCACACTAATCAGCAATCATTCACTCGTTGATCCAATCTTTCTTAAAGTGAGTAGAGAGGGAAAAGGTTAAACTTGTGTCGCATTTCGAAGATATTCATGAAGCTCTGTGAAAGTAATTACATTCTGAAGCACTGCAGAGAGCACCAAGATGTCCCCTATTTAACTGAAAGAGGAGCATGTTTGTGCACAGATAGTGCTTAGGGTCTGAACATCAAGTAGTCATCGTGGTGTGTGCTAAATGAACCTGCACAGGAAGCATTTTTGGAAGGCGTGTCACGATAAAGAGAGGCCATGGGCTGAAATTGATGTCTGTCCCATGTGGCACACACTGGCATGGGAATTCTTATCATACCAGCTGAATCATTCAAACTAGGCCAGCCTGAGAGGATGGAAACCCAAACATTAAAGGGAGAGCAAAAGGTGACTTGTTACATAAGGAGAGGAAGATTGAGGGCAAAAGGCCCTTGTGGAGAGTGACTTTACAAAAAGTAGTGGAAACCAGTGGTGACGGTGCATTAAAACCCATTAGGGAGGTAAAGGAGACATGCGAGGACATTTTCCTACATTCATCTGCTGTCATTTTTTTTGCTTAATGTCAAGCTTTTCAGAGATCCCTAGAGTAGGCATTAAAATGACCCGATGCCTGCACCTGATGTTTGCATTCAAATGTTAAGAGCTCCTCTGGGACTAGGTTGACACATTCTTAACCCATCTTAGCTCTTCTCGCGTGGAAATTCCCACTCTGTATTTATTGAATCCGGACAGAGTGTAGACTGTAAAGAACTGGGTGACGTGTTACCACCTTTCCCCATTGGGATTTGGCATAAATGGGATTTGAAAGCTAACATGACCGCAAGCAGGAGTCTGCACATGCTCCGAAGTGGGCTATATTTTCGAAAGTCATCGAATCAGTTCTTTCTTTCTTTCTTTCTTTCTTTCTTTCTTTCTTTCTTTCTTTCTTTCTTTCTTTCTTTCTTTCTTTCTTTCTTTCTTTCTTTCTTTCTTTCTCTCTTTCTTTCTTTCTTTCTTTCTCTCTTTCTTTCTTTCTCTCTTTCTTTCTTTCTCTCTTTCTTTCTTTCTCTCTTTCTTTCTTTCTTTCTTTCTTTCTTTCTTTCTTTCTTTCTTTCTTTCTTTCTTTCTTTCTTTCTTTCTCTCTCTCTCTCTCCTTCCTTCCTTCCTTTCTTCCTTCAAGTAGCCAACAGGAAACATAATACTACAAAATATATCATAACTCATTAAATCAAATATATAAACCATAATATTTTTTAAAGTTGGCTACAGTGCAATTAAATGTGCGGCTTATATACCTCCACCATGTCCAAGATGTGATTAAAGTGCCTTCGGCCTCAATCTAAAGCATGTATCGGACACATTTGTACTGAGTTTGCATTACAAGACAAACTGGAATTATTGGTTCAATCATGGGAGAGTCAAGAAAAATTATGTGTCTGCCATCAGCCAACAATTTGCTCAGTTTATACAAACAAGTTATGTATCACACATCAAGTGATCATGGATTTACATAAAGTAGCATCTTCATATGTGTAGCTTTGAGAGCATGCGAGGTCACACTCACCATTGTGTTTTAAAACCTGCAGGTGTGGAGCTCTTTAATTATTCATTGCCTTGTGCACTCAGTTGCTTAAGATCTCCACAATCTTTCTGAAGTGGGTGGAATAAACTGTGTTTTCTTTTGGAGAAATGTTGGATGTATTTTGTATTTAGATTTTCGTACAGTTGTATTGATTTAAGGCAGAGGAACCGCTGCAATATAGAACTCAATTATGTTTAGCTATATATATATATATATAGCTACCAGTAATTTTTATTGCTGGGATGTTGGTGCAACATGAGCACAAATTATTGATATTATGACAGCTCAGATTAACTGTTGTTTCTAACATATTTGTTGCTTGAGTGACCAACCAATTGAAGAGTAGTGCACGAGTGCAGGCTAGTGATGCTAATGGCAAACTCTTTACTGCTGAATCTCAGCGCTTTAATTTCTTTGAGATATTGATTTATTGTTTTGATTATTGACATATAGGCAATGCATGGCTTTAATGAAACGTTTTAACTTACAATTTAAAAGCTTAACTGCTCCATTAAACATAGTAAATGATCACTCTGTCACAGTAAAATATTGTTAGTGATTCATCGATGCCATGCTGGTTCATCACTGTTTCTTCCAGTTAAGCACCCGAAGATACATCTAAAGACAGGTTTGCTTTAAACTACCAAGTTAATTGTAACATGTTTATATAAAATGTAATATATTTGTACGTTTTATTATTATAATTAATTATTCTTTACATGTAGAGCATGGTGGTGTAGTGATCATCACAGGTGGTACTCGATCAGTTTCATCTCCAACGGTTCTCTAGAGTTATAAAACAATATTAATATTAAACTTATTAATTGTTCACCATTCTTTTTCTTTTATAATCATCACTGAGAAGAAAATGTAAAATGTCTAAAATGTAAGACATACTTAAAAAATAAAATAATATATACAAAAATGTAAGACATACTTAAAAAATAAAATAAAAAATAAGATATACAAAAATGTAAGACACTTGCTAAAATCTACTAAAATTCTAGTAATGGTTCTTGTTTAGTATGGATAGGACAATGTTGAACATAATCATGTTTAATTACTGTTTCTGTTATTGGTGAAAAAAAATATTATACAGTGTTTACACATTTTTCTACTAGAAATCAAAGTAAAGTTATGGTAAATATAAATATGCAGGCCTCCCAAAATGCTGAAAAGACCCAAGCTGTGGGGATATCCATTACATGTGGGAATGATGGCAATTATGTACATCTGCTTGAAAGCCGCTGCTGTGAAATTTTAATTACTTTGAGACACTAAACCATGCTGCTCTGAATGAGATGTGAGGATGAATAATCGGTTATTTACACTTCAGCGTCAAAATCTTCTCTGCGTTATTTGTTTATTGAAAAAAAAAAAAACTTTCTGATTTACTTCTATTGAGATGACAGTCCATTTGACCCCAAACCTTTCAAATCAGGAAAGCACAGAAGCTTTATTTTTATATAATATTCCCTTTCATCTGGAGCTAGTGACCTTTAGCACTTCCCAAATGAGTTGATTGTAGCTTTGCACAGAAAGTGAACATCTTGGCATTTTTGAGCTGGTTAAACAATACGTTGAATAAAATATGTAAAACATTGAAATACATGACACTAACAAGTTCATTCATTACTCTGGATGTTTTCAACACAGCGTGACGACAACGCCAAACTCCATCCCCCAGACAAAAACTACTACTGTGTTTTTTACTGTACACACAGACACTGACAGTTCTGATCATTTCAAAAACGATTCTCTTTGGCCAGCGCTTTCAAAAATGCACAGTTACTTGAAAAAGAGTGAATGCTGTCGACAGCCAAACTCATAGAAATCTTTATTGAATTTGCTGCAGGCTTTTAAACGAGTTGGTCCGTTGTAAACTACACCAGCATCAAGGATCGGATGGACTCGAAAAAAAATACCACCAGATTGATTTAGCAATGCAGCTTTTCGTTACTTGTCTGTTAATTCAGATTTTATTGATTATTTTTTGTTATAAAAGTTAGCCTGTAAAAGTCACCACGAGGCATTGTGTCTGATCACAGAAAAATGCATTGTAAGACGAATCCACGAATTTTGAAAAATGTGTTCCT